GAGATGTATTTTTCAAATAAAAAGGACAAAAAAATTCTGAAATTGGAATTCAGGCTTTTAGAATACCAACTTATTAAAACTATGATTCACTTGGCTTTTTTCCATGTTGGCCATAAGTTCTCAAGCTACTTCAATATGAGGGAAACTTGACAGATATTTGAAAAATAATTATGGTTTCAATTAGGCATTTGCTCAGTTTCAAATTCTCATTATATGCAAATTAGATCTTAGCACAGTACTTTATATAAGTCAGAAGAATAAATTCTTTTGATCAACAGGAGTCAAAAAAATAGAGTACAACGATTCTAGTTCAATTATTAACATTTGTGTACTATGAAACTGACCTTATCTTCAGAAAAGTCATACCCAATGAAATAATCCACCCACACACACATTAAAACAACATTCATTCTCTAAAGTGCAAAAATATCTACAAGTGAGAGGTCATTGCCTAGGCCTTAGCCAACTGATGTAATACAAAGTTGAAACACGAGAGGGCAATGAAGATTTTTTTAAAGAAAAAGTTGGATCCCATAACCTAAGATTCCTGGAAATAGCTGCATATTTTCACCCAAATTATAAACATCTGTTAAATGAACAAAGATATTATGATTATTTGAGAATACAATGTAAGATAGCTAATCCATCAAAAAGGATAAAAAGATTACTACCTAAACACCTTCTGGACACAAGTTCTATCTGCTTTGGAAAAGATGAATACTCACTCTGAGGTACTCCAGGGAGGGTAAGTATGGGAACAAAGAAATAATTTTGATCCAGTTATTATCTATTAGATTGTTCTTCACTATGATTAAATACTAGCGAAACTGAGTATCTAAACATGAACTATACTGCTCAGCTGTGGTGGCTCAGTGAATTGAGCATTGCCCCACGAACCAAGAAGTCTCAGGTTCGATTCCCTGTCAGGGCACATGCCCGGATTTCAGGCTGAATCTCCAGTAGGGGGTGTGCAGAAGGCAGCCAATCAATGAGTCTCTCTCATCATTGATGTTTCTACCTCTCCCTCTCCCTTCCTCTCTGAAATCAATAAAAATATATTTTTCAAAATAAGTATTAAGTATACAAAGATGAACTTAATGTTTGTAATGCACTACAAAGGTGAAATTCACTCTATTAGCTAAGACCAAAAAACCAGACAATTGAACATTTTTGGTACAATAAGTAAAGGGTATTTCTTTATTTTTCCCTCATTTCCATTTTTTTTCTATCTAAATTGGGGGTTAAAAAACAAGAGACCAAGTAATAAAAAGCAAATTGTTATTCTGTGACTAGTTATTGAAGTTAATATTCTCTCAGAAAAATTCTAAAGCAGTTTCAAGAAAAATATGGGTTTTCAGAATTATCTATAATAATAAAAGCATAATATGCTAATTAGACTGGACATCCTTCCGGACGAAGCCAGGGCTGCGAAGGAAGTCCGGATCCCAGGTGCCAGAGGGAGGCTGGTGCCAGCAGGCGGGAGAAGGCATGTCTACTCTTGCATGAATTTCATGTATCAGGACTCTAGTGTTTCATAAATAGTAATAAATGCTTCACAAATGTAAGTTTTGTTTCTTCTTAGAAATTATTCCTTATAAATGTGTATTTTTTAAAAAACAAAATCTATCCAAAACATTTCTTTTTCCATAGAATTTTCTTACAAATATAAAATTGTTCTGATTTTAAAACAAGTGAATGCAGGTGCTCATGCCACAGCATGAAAAGCATACTGCACAGTAAGAGAGGGATAGGAGATAGTGATGTAAAATGTTTTCCTCTAGAGAGTAAATTGTTTTTAAATTCAGTTCTATGATACAACTGAGAATAATTTCTTCCTGATGCATGTACCAAATATTATTATCTAGATTCTAAAAAACTGAGTACTTCTGACAAATTAGTATACTAAAGAATTTGCTTTTAAATCTTGTATAGTACACACACCCAAAAACCATGTCATGTCCCTCTTATCTATGAATAGTAAATGAAAATACAATTATTTTGAACCTTTAAGCACCCGATTACATATTAAATAACTAGAGGTATTAATAAGCTGCTGGCAATACAAAATATTTGAAAATACTTTTAAACAAAAACAGTTTAAATAGGTTAATTTAAATCCACCAGTCTTTTACTGAGGTGCGATCCCCCCCCCCATGTGAAAACCATAATCCAACTCAGTGACATTATAATATATGCAAATTTGATCAAACTATGATATTATAAGAATGTACTGTCAACCAAAAATGCTCAAATTTCAACTACTGCTTTGTCAGAGGTACAACGAATGTATATTAGCATTTTATTGCAAAGCTTTGCTATATTAAGAGTGTTTAAGAACTTGTGCCAAAGTTTGGTAGGAAACTTTTTAAATGAGAAAGAAATTTGCTGAAAGGCAAGAAAAAGCTAAGGACCACTGTTTGCGCAAAGTCTGCCCTGATTCTCCCAGAGAAGCATTAACCGGGGGTGTCACTGTTACCTGCTTTAAGCACTGACTGCTAAATGGTCTTCTTAGCATGCGGGCCCATCTTGAGGAAAAGATCTATGATAGGTAAGTACGCACACAGTAATGCAGAGACAGAAAGAAGAACGTGCTTTCTTGCTTATGCTGACTGGGGTTTTAGTCCAAAAAGGTTCCAGGAGACTAAACTTTACAAGTAAGTGGACTGGCCCATAAATTCTGTTACACAGGCCTTTACCCCTTACACATTCACTCAGCATACATACTTTTATAGTCTGTCTACTCCACCATTATTTTACTTTCTGTTTTTGCTCTAAATTCCATTTTTTCCCCAGAGGTTAGGTTTTATAGTCTGCTCACAAGTCAGTTTTACTCTAATTTCACCTCAGCATTCTATCCTTTTAGAATAACTAGTCAAAATGATACAACCCTAGTTAACCGTCTCTAAAAACCCTGACAGTCTCCAATTAATCCATTATCTCATTAGTGCAGCCATGCCATTTAAAAATGCTGGGTCTGAAATCCTCAAATTCCCTTAATAGAGAGCTAACGGGGCAATACCAAAGCCTTGTGCTGACCTCCAATTCTAGAGCTGTGGGCTCTTCCAGAAACAAAATCATATTCCCCTTTTCTGCAGAGTCTACCATTCGCAGAGCTTCTATTCCTAAATCTGTGAAATGAACACATTTCTACTTGAAACATATGCCACAGTGGGGTTGCACTCATTATTAAGTGTTATATCGTATCCTGCAACTTAATTTGGCACTGTTTACTTCTTATTTACTCAAAGCAACAGGACTGTTCCTAAAGTCAGGGGCTGTTTTCATGTCTTTCACAACACGAGTAACAGTCCTTTCCACACAGTGCAAGCTCAACAAACATGTGATTAACTCATGAACCTCTTTATTTCCCAGGGATTCTCTAAACAGGTTATCAACAAAAGTGTGTATTTAATTCCAGCCTCTGTAGGTATGGTCTTAGACAAGGTACTTGACAGTCTGTCAATGACAGGATTAAGGGATAGTACAAAATGTCCCATAAGTCCCTCGCTGTACCAATACTAATTCATGAGACAAAACCAAACCCCTAATATAGCATTCTCTCTATTCCAATCAGCATTGTACTTTTTTTTTGGGGGGGGGGTGTCGGGAGGGGGATGTCAACAACTTTCTGGGCACAATTAACACCAATGGAGCTCTGATGGTGGTTGGGGATAGAAAGTAAATGAAGGAGGAAGAGAAAATAAACAAAGGTGAGTGGTAAGTGGAATCACTAAGATGCCACCAGCTGTCAAAATTGTTTCTGTGCTTCACACCGTTCTTGGATATATTCTGGCATGCTTAGGAGTCTTTTACAAAAGCAGCTATAGCCAGATGTGTGGGTGCCTAGATTTTCCCATGCTGCCTCCACTAACCCTTCTCATACCCTTCACGTTTTACTGACCTTCTTGATTAGAGCACACATCCTGAATAACAATCTGCAAAGCAGTCACTATGAGGTCTCATGTATTATAATAACAATTCTTGGGGGTTCCCAAATCTCCACAAGAAAAAAGACAGAAAAAAGTAGATGACTGACAAACTTGCTATAACTGTCATGCAGACACTTCTTTTGTAATTAATCCATGGACCAAAAGGAGTGATGTTATAGGCCCACACCATCCAAAAGAAGAAAATGTAATCTACATATGTAATTTAAAATATTCTAATAGCCATGTTAAAAAATAAACAGATGAAATTAACTTTAATAATATATTTAAACTCAGTATATCCGAAATATTATCATTTGAACATGTAAACAACTTAAAATTATTCATGAGATATTTCACTTTCCTTTTTTGTACTAAATCTTTGAAATATGGAGCATATTTTATGCTTGTAATGCATCTCAATTTGAACACTAAGTTTCATCAGAAATCCTTATGTGGATTAAAATTTACAGTTTAAAAAGTACATACATGTGTCCAAATTGTTTCCAAATGTATTTAAATTTTCCAATACCTGAATCAAATATCAATTTTAAAAATGATATAAAATTTGAAGTTAGGTTCCTCATCGCCATGGCCATATTTCAGGTGCTTGACAGCCACCTGTCTAAGTCGTTACTGCATTAATGCAGGTATAGCCAACCCTGTCTGTGTTACCTGGCTTCTTTTAAACCTGAACCAGATTAAAAGAAGTTACCCCATTCAACAGCAACTCCTTCTACATCACCCACCAGGTGCTCAAATCATGCCAAGTATTTTCTGCCCCACTACTAATCCTTACTTAAATTGTCAATATTTCAGAGATGGTCATTTATTAAGCAACTTTTCCCAAGACTGAACAACTCTTTTAGCTCAGAGAGAAAGACACATCTCAATTCAGAGAAAGAATGGAGACATTGAGATTCAAAGATATTCAAAGGCGTTGTTTTGGAGGTAAAGGTGGAAAATTCTGACTGACATTGTTACTTCTCCGTCCAGGAAGAGGGGCTAGGGTGGGGCTGAGGGAAAGAAAAAAAAGAGAGCCAGGTTAGTCACCCTTCAAAGTTATGGCCATTGTTTATATTGAGCTTCTGGACTTCCATAGGCACAGTAGCTGTCACTATACCCATGGGTGCTTCACCCCAAGTGCTCCTGCCTAGTCTACCGCCGCCCCACAACCTTCTTTATCTCTAGCATCCTCTCTAGCCCACATTGCAGGAGCCCCTCTACTTCATTCTGAACAGTGCTTGTTGTTGACATAATGAAACATGAATAATTCAATAAATGAATCTCGAACCATCCTATTAATCATTCATTGGTCTAGGTACCTAAGTTGTCTTGAGAAAAGCTTTTCTGAATATACATGCCCCCACCCTTACCCAAAGGAACCAATTACAAACACTACAGCGTTCTCTCCCCATGTCCAAGTTCAGTGTTCCCCCTGCAGCTGATTTAAAAGTTGATCTTCTAAAGGCGCTGGATTCCTAAGGTAGTTCTATTTTGAGCCTTCTTCCTGTTCTGAAGCTAAAGTTGGAAGAGCTTAGGTGTGATGTCACGGAAGGGAGACGCTGGCTTTTATAGAAGGGTCCTCTCTGGCAACTCCAGGGATGCTCTGATGGTGGAAATTAGGGGGAACATTTACTCATCTCTTTCCCCTCTCTCCCCTTTTGAGTCCCAGCTATTCCTTAGCCAGCAACAAAACAAGTTCAAATAGGCACGAGAACATATTTACATATTACACTCTTTAAGCATCTCAGAAATGAAAAGACTGGGAGAAGGAAACTGGCTCAAACCAGGGAACAAGGGTGACAACCTCGTTCTCCACCCACCATCCCCACCTCCCCAAATATCTATCATAGGGCTAGGGGCAAAGAGGTGGGAGGCACCGCGGAGAATAAAGGTGTGACAGGTCTAGGAAACTTGAAGAGGGAGACACTGCGGGGGATATTCACAACAGAAGGGACACCCTTGGGTCTCTTCCCTTCCACTGTTTTCTCCTCCCTTTTGTACGGTTAGAATTGGGGCTGGGTGTGCCTTCTGCTTTGGGAGGCCTGTTTGGCTCTGGAAAAGGAAGAGGGGCTAGGGTGGGGCTGAGGGCAAGAGAGCCAGAGACTGCTCAGGCCTGATTCTGGGTTATGCTCTTAGAGGAAGAATGACGGGGACTGGAAGGGGACAGCTGAGGATTCCATTAGAAGACCCAGTTCGGAATAAATAACAGCACTGGGCCAAGAGGGGTGTGTGTGTGGGGGGGAGGAACCTTTATCTCTCAATCTAAACGCAGTAGGTAGTTGCTCCTTGGTAGGGGTGCAGGTCCAGAGGAAAAAGAAAATCCCAACACATCTGTAGACCACTACTTGCCAGGCAGGGGATGGATGTGCCCAGTGCAACCGGCAGGTGAAAGCAGCACTTTCTGGCCAATTCCGGGATGCGGGGTTGGCTAAAAGCTCTGGGGGAACACAGGATTCCTTGGTTTCTTGGCTCACCTCTCCTCCAAAGCGGGAATAAGCACAGGTGTGGTCCTTCTCCAAGAAGGTGGCTTCTGGCGAGCAGGCGGCTGAGCGAAGGAAAGGATTCTTTGGCCCGGGAAGGCAGGGAGCAGCCTGGGGTCAGCTAAGGCCAGGAGCAGGCGGTGTCCGCCAAGTCCCCTCCCCCTTCTTGAAAACCGACCTGGACCGGCATAAATTACAGCAATACGGCCCCATCCCCAATGTTTCTAATAAAAGAAACAGCCTCAAGACTACGTAAAACACTGCAAGCTCTGGCTGATGAAAATAAACAGGTGAACCTGAAGAGAAGCGGGAAGAGACCAGAGATGGGAGAATGAACGCGCTCCGGAGAAATTGAGGCTTCCCCGCCCTCCCTACACACCCACTTCCCTCCAAGCCCGGAGAATCTGCGTGGCAGGTTGCAAGCCACAAATGCCATGATGACAGGCCCCCATCTCTCCGCTCCGCGCCCATTCTCTCTCCTACCCCAGGGTCCAGCGTCTTGTCTCAGCCTCGTGGTCGCGCCCGTCCCCGGACCCCGCGCGCGGGCTCACCCTAGCCCTGGCCCGCCGCCGCGGCGGGGACTCCGGTCTTCCTCTCTGCGTCCTCGTCCTCCTCCTCCTCCTTCTCCTCCTCCTCCTCGCAGGCTCCTCCCGCCGGATCCTTCATGTAAACAACATCCAGGCTCTATTTACAGTCGCCGCCGGACCGCGAGGGACCCACGCCAGCACCCTGGGAGGAGGCGGGGGCCGAGGAAAAGCGAGT